TTTTTAGAAGTGAGCGCGAAGCACAATCTCGTGGATGGCCCGATGCTGATCGCCAAGGCCAAATGGTTTGCCGCTGCACTCAGAGAAACAAATTCACCGATAACAGGGGGTGACTTCACCGATTTAAGCAGCGATACAAGTTGGCAAAAGCAATTCTGGCGAAAGTGAAACTGGCAGCCGCCAGGACACTTAGCAGTGGATGATGAAGGGGTGGCCGGAAACATCCGCGAAGTTTTCTCCCGCGGAGATCTTCAATGCATGGTGAGACGGCAAAACTTGTGGAAACCGGTGAAGGCGACAATGAGCGCATATGTATTTCGCGAGTTGTCGTCCCTCTTCGCAGCAGCAGTTCCACACAAAGTGTCTGCTGACTGCTTCGTGGAAGCGGACTCCAATGTCCAGATCGTTGCGAGCCTCGCTGACGAGGACATAACAGCTGCGGTCCCAGGATGCCCAGGCCAACAGCTCATGCAACTAGAAGGATCGTCTGCACAAGGCGCTCGCAACGCGTGGGTACTCCGCCGCTGAAGTGGCGGCAGGGCTCGACATCTGTTGTATCGGCCGCTCGGAGGGAATCGGGCTGTCCCACCAGGGCAGCCTTTACAAGATCGAGACTGGCACCTTCAACATTTCAAAAACGAAGAAGCAGGTCATGATTAGCGATTTTTTCCACGCAAATAAATCAGTCTATTGCTGCGTGCATGCAAAATTAGTTGTCATTTTGAATGCGCTTATTTCAGGTGATGATCCATTGCAGGTGATGATCTGCTACAGGTTAGCTCTCGGGGCCTTTATTTTTTATAGATAATCTTCCATATATAGAACTAATTCGTGATCCTCTTCGAGTTCTATACATCCGTGTTCGACTATATTTTGAAACATCGCCATAGTTAAAACAAAAAATTCCCACAAAAATTCGCAAACGCAAGAAAAGTAACCTATTTACCTTTGCTAGGTGCATAAATTTTTGATTGAAACCTTCAAAAAATTTAACTTTTGCCAGAAATTAGAGCATAAAGTGGGTGTGTCTGCAACACTGAAATGCAAGGTGCGACAAACCTTCGTAAAATTATCAAATAAAAAAGCACTCCTATCATTGTGTAGCTTATGTTCATTAGTACACAGGCATGTGCCAATAGTAGCTCTGCAATACAAGTTTCGTGTGACATTATACCAGCAAACAATAGGTAATTAATTTTAGAATATCTCAAAAACTAATTAGTTTAGATGAACAGTAATTACATTTTTGAAATTACCATCCAAAAACTCAATCACACTGCGAATTTTATTTATAAACACATAAAAATATCTGGCATTTAATCTCAAGTACAGTATCCACCCTTAAGGTGGGACACGGCTTTGCTGTCGCGAAAAATGGCAAAAAAATAGATCTTTTAGAAATCAACTTTTCAGTTTCTGGAACCTTTTTTCAATCCGATTCTAAAATATCTACACTAGAAACCGCACAGAAATGCTTCAAAAAATTAGTGTCACCCTCCTAGGTAGTGAAAGCTTTCCTGGAAATGGCGATTAATAATTTCTAGCGTGTCACACAAGTTGCAGTTAGGGTTCTGCTCTTGTCCTATCATGCATAAGTATCGTCGCGTGTATGCAACACCCAGCCCCAGTCTATGTAGTAGTGTTTCTTGGTCTCTCCTTAGTGAGAAAGGAAGGCGAAAAGCACTACAAGAGTCAAGCCTGTAAATGCGCTTGTGGCGATAATCCGGATCATTCCATAGTCCTTAATCACATCCTGTGTGTGTGCCCTTTATACGCAGTTGAAAAACAATCTCTTAAGTGCCTCACAGACGACCTAGACTGCCAACCCTTTTTGGAAGAGAAACTTTTGGGTGCTTGGAAACGTGTGGATTACCCTCAACGCAGTTTAAAAGACCTGCTCACATTTCTAAGCAAGACAGGTGTAGATTCCCGTCTTTAGAGACTCTAATAATGTAGAGACTTTTGTGCGTGTACTACACTAAACGAGACATTGTGTGCAGTGACTCATTGTGCTATACCACAATCACACCTCATCACACTCTCCTCTATTTTTCCCTTGTCCCCTTACCCCCATGTGGAGTAGCAGGCCAGAAACCCGCTTTCAAGGCTGACCTGTCCTCCTTCTTCTCAATAAACACCTTCTTCTTCTTCTTATGGAAAGGGCGAGAAAACATTGATTTTTCAAAAAAATTATAGCTTCATGAAGGTGCGGCCGGGAGCCATCGTCTTGAGCTCATCAGAAAGAGCGTTTCTCCTTGTTCAAAGTTCCCGCCTCTGCTGGCTCCTCCCTTTAAAAGAAGTGCACAAAAAGCAGATATTTGAAGGTCGTTTCGCGGCCCCTGATTGGCTGTGGCCGTCATGTTGCCCCAGCTCGCCTCGCCATTAGCCTGATGCTCGCTCCGGGAGATCGTCGTCTGCTACTTGTGCGTCGCGAGGACATAGATGACAAAAATCGCTACTTCCTGACGTGTTCACGGCTCGACGATCACTTAGGATATAATTACACTTTAATTATTAGCTGTAAGCGGATGCATGATCAGACTACTAGGAGCGGGCGCGTGGTCTACGAGCACGGCGTGTCATCGCGAGCGGGCGTGCGGTGTACGAGCGCGGCGCATCATTGGAGTCATCTTTCGTCTTTAGGCCGAAATTCCGCTGACTGCGAGACTGCAGGCAAGAACGACGCACTAGCACACTTGTGGCGATGCGCTTCTTCACAAGCAACGAAGTTGTAAGCGAATTCACGATCAGATTACTACGAGCGATCGCGCGGTCTTCGAGCGCAGCGCGTCATCAGAGTTGTCTTTAGGCCTAACTCCGCTGATGACTAAGCGAACTTTGCGGGCAAGAACGCCGGGTTAGAGCACTCGTGGCAACGTGCTTCTTCGCAAGCAACAAAGTAAAACACTCGCTAGCTCCTCGGAACTGTGTACAGGCATTTTTTACGCATCGGCAGCAGACCCCACAATCAACCTCGTCACCCCCAACCCCCTCCTCCCCTCTACTGCCAAAGATTGCTCGGAACAGCGGCCAGCAGTTTCGCGCGTCGGCATTCGAAAATGCGATGCCAAGTGCAGTGAGCGCCAGTTTTTTGTCATCCTCGGTACACATTTCGCAACGCCGTCACCGAACACCGCTGGCATCACGCGTGGGCTGCGCTGTCCATGTGGCCGTGCACTTCACGGTCATATGGAGGGCAGTCAATAAGCTTTTGTGGTTCGATTTAGACGTGCTTAGAGCATTGCATGGTATCGCCGCGAGTGTCTATGAATGTTCTGGACTATGAAAGCCTCGTAGATTAGCGTTTCCGCGACCAGCTGTATTATGGTGCGTGTCACGGCTAGAGTGGCAAAAAAGTATGTATGAAGCAGGGGCACGAGTTTTTATATGCCCGACTCGCGTCATTAAATAAACTTCCAAAAAAATTTCTGTGCCACCAGTTTTTTGCCCACAACTGTTAGTCATTTGGAAGAAGGCATAGGCTGTCATGGTGTCAGCCATTTCTGTTATGCACTATACTCTCTTTTATAAAAAAATGTCCACTCATCATCTTTAATCAAGAAGCACCTAATTACACTAATGACAGCTTGAACACAAAACAGTCTAATCATTTCAGTATATGGCCTTATTCAATTACAATCCATTCTGTCATTCCTATTATTACACCACTCCTTGATACAGAGGACTTGGTTTGAAATCCATATTTGTTCCTTGTAAATAAAAAAAAAGGGTTATAAAGAAATATAGGCAAAAAAGGTACACTGGGCCGAGGCCAGATGCCTGAGAAGTAAAATATCACAAGACAAACCTAAGATCACAATTTCTATGTGTTTTAGAGACGTCAAGAGAAGGTGAAACTTCAAACGGAGTTTTCTCAATACTGTTATTTTAGCATTATGCTCAGCGCGTGGAGCAGATATCTCAGCAACCACTGCACCGATTTTGATTCTGTTTGTTTTGTAACGCTCTTTGAACCCTGCTTCAGGCGGCTGCGATTTTAGTTATTTATTTTACTCCCCAAAAAATTTATTTCTGTAGGGTTTCTTGTTTGTAGTGCAAGTGTTCTGATTGCAGTGTCGCTGGAGAAAATGTTAACTACAAAATTTAGTGTTGCCAAAAAATTTTTTTGAAAACGCTGCCCCCTTCAGCATACATTTCGCTGTGTGTTCAGTGATCACCAACTATTTTTGTCATTTTATAAATCTGCCAGCCCTTCCAGCAGGTTCAATGAATAAATAATTTGTATCTCATCAAGTTCTTGTGTTATCGCCTCGAATTTTTTATGGAAGCAATGTGAGGCCATTTATAGTACCTGTGCCAATTTTCATCAACATCCAATAAAAAACAGGAAAGTTTGCTTCGAAAGGCACGTCCCCCTTTAAACCTCAATAACTCCGGAACTAAAAAACATAGCTTCATGAAACTTCGCAGTTCGTCTTGTTTTAGTGTAGTGAAAGTGCCCTGAAAGCTTCATCTGGATATCCTAAAAAATAAACAGGTCGGCCTCCAGGGTAGCCTTCCCCCTTAAAGGAATGTTAATGAAAAGTTTATGATAATCTACATCACCAAGGAAGAAAATGATCAGAGACCAGCCCTGGGGCCCTGAAGTTTTCATCATCACAGCACAACTGAAGGAGTTCAAACAAAGAAGACACTTGGATACGGACACAGATTAAATTGAATGTCTTAAACAGCGCATAATCATAACTTTAATATGGAACACCTTGGCCTGTGCATCGCTTTACTGCAAAGAAAAAGACAGGCTCGGAAGATCCAATGCTCAATTCAATTAGGATAATGGGAGTTTATCAACTAAACCGTGCTAGGGTTGAGGTATAAAAAAAAAAAGTGGTATTCACACAAGCTTATTGAACAAAAATAACCTGAAGTGCGAGCTTATGACGCAACTGTGATGTGGTAGCAGTGTAGCAGATTACTACTTTCACAACCTCCTCTCCACTCGTACAGAACACTTTCATGGGCCAAGCAAGAGGTGTCACCTTGACGTCCGGTGATTTCTCAATGAGGCCGACCAGGATTGCTCCGATGAAGGCCTTTCGCATCTCTTGGCCCATGACACCAACACGATTCTTGACCAGATCCAGGCTGAGGATGAGCAGCTCGGTGCCCATCGAGCTGGACTCCTGGCCACCCGCGCCACCACCAATTCCCCCTGGGGAGAGATGCTCTCGTGCCATCTTTTGCAACACGTGCATGAAGGGCGTGATGAGCCGGTCGATGTAGCATGGGTGGTTGACACAGGCTGCCTTCAGGATCATCAGGCACCCAAACAGAGTGGACGGGGGTGCTGCAGGGGACTTCTCGTAAGTGGTCAGGCCCTCGTACACAACCTGCAGGTAAGTCGCACGCATTCAGGAGTATTGGTCAACAATGGGCTTGAACAAGGAGCGAATTAGAGGCTCCAAACAGCGATTCAGTTGAATAATTTTTCATCAAATCATGGAAAACATGGCCGATCCCTCTTTTAAGGAATTAGTATAACACAAAGTGAAATGTGTCTTCACCAAAGAGGTTGAGTGTTTATTTGCATTGTTTTGCCACAGGAGCGAAGGAGTGAATGCTAGCAACAAATAGCAAATTTCATGCAATAAGGGCTCTGGCGAAACCTCCTCATGATCTAATAAGGTTCTTTGTCGGTCTGCCTGTCATATGGGGAACAGCAAGCAGCTCTAAACTTACAGTGTGCAGCTTATATGCAGAAAGCATGCACGAAATGAGCATACTGTCACGGGGCGTGACGTGGCCGAAGACAGGAGACTTCTTGTTGGAATATAACTGTTTATTTGGGCGAACCTGTGCCCGGTAAACAGAAAGTCCAATTACAGCAGCAGTCTCGCACAGATTGCAGTCTCAGACTGATAGCGGCGAACGGAGCGTCGGCCTTCGATCAACAACTGACAAGCGGCGAAGCGCGTCGGCATTTATACTCCCGCCGTCGAATGTTCTAGCGCTATCGCTGGCGGCGGCGAGCGTTCCAGAACAATCTGTACCATTCGCACAGTGGGAGTGATCTTATCGAAATGATCTACTACAGTCCGGAACCCTCTAGAAAACTGCAGGCGCGGTTTGTGCTGAGAATCGTGTGGTGTTTTGGGACGATAACCAAAACTTGGGAAATGGAACGTGGCATTGCCCCCCTCTGAAAAAGGCATCGTCTCGATGCTTTAACTAAAGATGAAGGTACAATAATAATGCAAGAAAGTACAATGAATAAATTACGATACAACAATAATACAAAAAAAACACTGTTTCAGTTTGTTAACGCGCATGAAACGGCTTGAGGCGTGCGACATGGACGACGTCAGGTCGCGATCGGCGTCGTTGAGAGTTCGTGATGCCGTCGGGGACAACCTCGTAATCAAGTGGGCCGAGACGTCGAACCACCCTGTACGGTCCGAAGTACCGTCGCAGAAGCTTTTCACTTAGTCCACGTCGGCGTATCGGCATCCACACCCAAACACGTTCACCGGGCTGGTATTCCACGAAGCGTCGTCGAAGGTTGTAACGGTGGCTGTCGGTCGTCTGTTGATTCTTGATACGGAGCCGCGCAAGTTGTCGGGCTTCTTCGGCGCGATGAAGGTACTCGCTCACATCGAGGTTTTCTTTGTCGGTGACGCTGGGTAACATGGCATCGAGCGTCGTTGCCGGGCTCCTTCCGTAGACCAATTTGTATGGAGATATCTGCGTCGTCTCCTGCACCGCCGTGTTGTATGCGAAGGTCACATACGGAAGAATGGCATCCCACGTCTTGTGTTCGACATCGACGTACATTGACAGCATGTCGGCGATCGTCTTGTTAAGCCGCTCGGTGAGGCCGTTGGTCTGTGGGTGGTACGCTGTCGTCCGGCGGTGGTTTGTTTGGCTGTATGCCAAGATAGCTTGAGTTAAGTCGGCAGTGAATGCCGTTCCTCTGTCGGTGATAAGGACCTCCGGGGCGCCGTGACGTAGGACGATATTTTCGACGAAGAACTTAGCTACCTCGGATGCACTGCCTTTTGGCAGGGCTTTTGTCTCGGCGTAGCGGGTGAGGTAGTCGGTGGCTACCACGATCCACTTGTTTCCGAAAGCCGACGTCGGGAACGGCCCCAATAGGTCCATACCAATCTGCTGAAAAGGTCGGCAAGGTGGATCAATTGGCTGCAGAAGTCCCGCTGGCCTTGTCGGCGGTGTCTTGCGTCGCTGACAGTCCCGGCATGTCCTCACATAACGAGTGACGTCGGTTGTAAGACGCGGCCAGTAGTACCTTTCTTGTATCCTCGCGAGCGTGCGAGAAACACCGAGGTGCCCTGCCGTCGGATCGTCGTGCAGGGCCTGCAGGAGTTCTGGTCGCAGAGCTGAAGGCACCACAAGGAGATACTTAGCCCGAAGCGGTGAAAAGTTTTTCTTTTGTAGAAGACCGTTTCGTAGAAAAAACGACGCAAGTGCGCGCTTGAATACCTTCGGGACTTCGGCGGTCCTGCCTTCGAGGTATTCTATTAGGGCCTTAAGTTCCGGGTCGGCCCGCTGTTGTTCAGCGAAGTCGTCGGTAGTTATCGTTCCCAAGAAGTAGTCGTCATCCGGGTCGTCGGGTAGCGGTTGGTCGACAGGCGCACGAGAGAGACAGTCGGCGTCGGAGTGTTTTTTGCCGGACTTGTAAATGACAGTAATGTCATATTCTTGAAGTCTCAGGCTTCATCGTGCGAGGCGACCTGAAGGGTCCTTCAAGTTGGCTAGCCAACACAAGGCGTGGTGGTCGCTCACAACTTTGAAGGGCCTGCCGTAGAGGTAGGGGTGAAATTTCGACGTAGCCCAGATGATGGCGAGGCACTCCTTTTCTGTTGTGGAATAATTGGCTTCTGCATTGGATAGCGATCGGCTGGCATAAATAATAACCCTTTCAAGTCCATCAGGCCTCTGCACAAGAACAGCGCCAAGACCTACGCTGCTTGCATCAGTGTGTATTTCTGTCTCGGCGAATTCGTCGAAATGGGCAAGTAACGGAGGCGTCTGGAGGCGATGTTTAAGCTCCTGGAAAGCGTGTTCCTGTGGCGTTTCCCACTTGAACTCCACGTCGGCCTTGGTAAGGTTAGTGAGAGGATCGGCGATGCGGGCGAAGTTTTTCACGAACCGCCTATAATAGGCGCACAGGCCCAGAAATCGGCGCACGGCTTTCTTGTCAGTGGGCGGCGGGAATTCGGCGATGGCGGCTGTTTTCCGTGGATCAGGACGAACTCCAGACTTGCTGATAACGTGCCCCAGAAACAAGAGCTCTTCATACGCAAATCTGCACTTTTCTGGCTTCAGTGTGAGTCCGGAAGTCTTGATGGCTTGAAGTACAGCTTCAAGGCGCCGAAGATGCTCGTCGAAACTCGAGGAAAACACGACGACGTCGTCCAAGTACACAAGGCAAGTCTGCCACTTCAATCCTGCCAGTACTGTATCCATAACGCGTTGAAAAGTTGCAGGCGCTGAGCAAAGGCCGAAGGGCATCACCTTAAACTCGAAGAGGCCGTCCGGTGTTATAAACGCCGTCTTCTCTCGGTCTCTTTCGTCGACTTCGATTTGCCAATAGCCAGTCTTGAGGTCCATTGACGAAAAGTACTTGGCGTTATGGAGCCGATCAAGTGCGTCGTCTATTCGTGGGAGAGGATACACGTCCTTTCTTGTGATTTTGTTCAGGCGGCGATAATCGACGCAGAAACGTAGGGTCCCATCCTTTTTCTTCACTAACACCACGGGGGATGCCCATGGGCTGTTGGACGGCTGGATAATATCATCCCGCAGCATTTCATCAACTTGTCTCTTGATGGCCTCACGTTCTCGCGTCGAAACCCTGTACGGACTCTGACGGAGTGGTCTGGCATTTTCTTCGGTTATGATGCGATGTTTCGTGATTGGGGTCTGCCGAATTTTCGATGACGACGAAAAGCAATCTTCGTATTGCAGGAGCAGGGCCTTGAGCTGTTCTTGCTTATCGTTCGGAAGTCTGGGATTGACGTCGAAAGCTATGGGAGGGGCTTGGTTCCTCTGAGCAGATTCCGCAGAATCGGCGAGGGCGAAAGCACTGGTGGCTTCGACAATTTCTTCGATGTATGCGACCGTTGTTCCTTTGTTCACATGTTTGTACTCATTGCTGAAATTTGTGAGCATAACCGTTGCTTTGCCTCCCCGCAACTCTGCAATTCCTCTTGCGACGCAAATATTTCGGGTGACCAACAGATGCTGACTGCCTTCAACGACGCCTTCGAAGTCAGGTGATTCAGGAGCGCCGACTGAAATAATGACGCTTGAGCGAGGCGGAATGGTGACTTGTTCTTCCAGCACATTCAAGGCATGGTGTCTAGACGGCGTGCGCGGCGGTAGTGCTTCTTCTGTGGATAACGTTATCGACTTTGTTTTTAGGTTGATGACAGCACCATGGAGGCATAAGAAGTCCATGCCAAGGATGACATCTCTCGAGCAACGCTGTAGGACTACGAAGTCTGTAGGATAAATACGGCCGTTAATGGTGACTCTCGCTGTGCAGCTTCCTGCAGGCGTTACGAGATGACCTCCGGCTGTGCGGATTTCAGGGCCTTTCCAAGCTGTCCTAACTTTCTTTAACTTCGCGGCGAACGACCCACTGATGACAGAATAGTCAGCTCCAGTATCGACGAGAGCGGTCACACTGTGGCTGTCGATAAGAACGTCGAAGTCGCTAATTCGCCGTCTCGCATTACAGTTAGGGCGTGGCGTCGGGTCACGGCTTTGTCGACTTGTTCCGCTGCTTCCATGTTGCGTCGTCAAGCCACCATCGGTAAGTGAGCTTTCGCCGTCAAGGCTTTGCCTGGTTAGCGTTGTGTTCGGAAAGCTCCGTCGCGGCGTCGTCGTCGTCGGAGGATCTTCGGTAGTTCGTCGCACAGCAACCGCACCTCCACCGGTTGCTGCCCTTAGTTTCCCGGATACGGGCTAGGAGACCGGCCCCGCGTTGGGCCAGAGTACTGTCGGTGGTGCGGTGACGTGCGGCGGCTGGGCGACGGCGAACGCGAAGGGCTTCGTGGTGTCCACCGAGTTCCTGTAAGGTAGTCGGCGATGTCGCGTGGTCGTTCTCCTGGCTGTGGGCGCGGTGCATTGACGGCGAAGCCACGCAATCCCATCTGTCGGTACTGGCAACGGCGGTATGTGTGTCCGGCCTCGCCGCAGTGGTAGCAGAGCGGGCGATGGTCAGGGGTGCGCCAGACGTCAGTCTTCCTCGGTGCACTGCGCTGGGCCGCTGGCGAACGGTATGACGTCGGTGGGGGTGGTGGCGGCGGTGGCGTCTGTCGACGGAAGTGCGATGGGGCGGCGTTTTGGCGTGGACGGGGAGTAGCGT